TGTTGGAAGAAATCTCCTTTTGTTTTTTTCCACTTTACAGGGCTAATCCTGTAAGGAAGGCAGGAAGGAAACATTCTGGTGGTGTTTCTAGCCTCATCTTTATTTCCCTGCTTACAGAAACTGCCTCTCCGGTTAACCCTTATTACCTTGTAACAGCTAAGGCGAAGCGCCCATCAACCTGAGTGACCTTGAGTTGGCCAAGCCCACCCAGACACATGACCACCGAGCCACACCTATCGAGATAGTCATTAGGACAGAGAACCGGTTGTTAAATTATTTGAATCCCACCACTGTGCATATATAATGAACAGTATTACCTTCCCCTTTAGGTAAGATAAAGTTTCAAACATACCAGTAAGATTCTCTCTTTTCTTGTCTTAATCAAGTTATTTATTAATATGTTATGCACCAGAGGGCCTAGAGTGGAGTTCTGCAGGATATTACTCTGTGCTTCCCTTCAATTTAATGTGGAGTCATTGAAACATACTTGTTAGGTGTGATTGTTCAATGTGGCCACAATTTAAAATATAAGGCAGTGACAGAGGTGGTATTCAACCAGTTTGGACCGGTTCACCTGAAGCGGTAGAGGAAATCATGGGTGGGCCTGCCCATCCGCCCTGGCTCTTTGGCATCCTATTTAGGCATGTTTTTGAGGCTGGGCATATAAGTGAAAGGCACATGCGCAAGCAAAGCGCATGTGTGGAAGGCTGTTTGCATGAGTGTAAGAGGTACATGTGCATGCTAAGTAGGTACGCGCATGGAAAACCAGTGGTAACAAAATGTAAAACGCACTGCTGGGCAGTGATAAACAGTCTATATCATCCAGGTCATGGTTGTCCCAAAGGTGCTTTTTTCAAGAGTCAACTGGACTTTCTGCTTTTTCTTTGACTTCTTGGATGAGAAGAGAAACGTCTTCAGAGAAAAACCAGAAAGTCCAGTTTCCTCTTGAAAAACAAGCACCTTTGCGACAGTGATAAATAGGTATTCCTTATTTAATGATCACAATTGGGGCTGGCGTTTTACTTTTCCATCATCGTCCTAACTATGATGAGTCGCTGTACTAGATCACTNGAGTATATGCACCAAAGACAAATTCCTTGTGTGTCCAATCACACTTGGTCAATAAAGAATTCTATTCTATTCTATTCTATTCTATTCTTAAAACACAACTTAAGAGTATTGAACTTTTCATATTCTATATGTAGCTATGAGATATTTTCCCATAGACTTCAAATGATAGATTAAAACGTTTTGTTTCCAGGAAATCAATAAGGATGCAATTAGTATTATCTCCAGGGTAACATCAATGGAATCAACTTATCCCTTTTAACTTACCAGTAGCTTTATCTATCAAAAAGGCATGGTTTTCATTGCTTGAGAGAAGGTATGTGACTTGTCCATTCATTCCTTGGTCTGGATCATGTGCTATTATGTGATGTGCTACTGAGCCTACCTCTGCATCCTCTCTAATGTAGGAAACAGGAGATGAAAAAAAGCTAGGGATGTTATCGTTGACATCTAATATGACAATTTTTGCTGTCAGTGAACACTGGTTATGTTCAGTCAGGTTTACCGCCTGATTTGAAGCCAATACTGTCAGGACAAAAAATGGAGTTATTTCTCGATCCAGGGATACTGCTGTAATTAAGGTACCATAAATAGGATGGATGACAAATGGATTTTCTGTCAAGTAATTACTATCCATTGAATACTGAATATTTCTGTTTAAAAAACTACCGTCTCCATCTCTTGCACTAAATGTATACACCACAGTACCAATGGGCACATTTTCCTCTATCCCAATTACAATGAAGTTATTTTGGAAAGAAGGTGAGTGGTCATTTTGATCTTCAACGTCAACACTGAGGAAAACAGTCTCATTCTGTGGAGAATTGTTCAGGCAGTCAGTTACAACAACTCTGAAGAAGTAGTGAGACATTACTTCATAATCAAGTGCTTTAGAAAGAAAGAGATCGCCTGTAGCATTATCAATCTCAAATGGAATATCAGAATCTTCTTCAGGGATAATAAAATGCTGTTTTCTGTTGGGATATAAATGCTGATCAGGGAGTTTTAAGGAGCCCATGAGCTGAGAAGGTCTAAAATCTTCTGGTATGGCAAAATGTCTGATGTTTTGAGAAGAATGAGAAATTCCTTTCACAAGAGGTATTACCTAGGGGGAAAAAAGAATGTATTTGTTTATTAATGGCATTTTGTAACATTTGCCCCCAAAATGGGAATGATTAATCATTCACTGACTGATAACATTCATTTCAGTTAAGACCAGAATGTCTTGAAAATTTGAACAAGGTCAGCTTGAGCTTTTCATTTGTTTCGTAAGACCTCTCTTGTTGAGTTAGACCTAAATTAGCCTGCACAGCTGAAAAGATTCCCCTTAGAAACTCACAAGCATAACATTACAACACCCTTCAGTTCATTATTCCCAGAAAATTATATTCTGATATAGGAGATAATATATAAACTNGTGCCATTCCATGCTTCTGCAAACCTTTAATATCTCCCTTGGTGTTCTTTTTAACTATCTGTCAAAGGTCATTAACAGTTTGCCTGTTTGCTTCTAGCAGTTTTTTCCTTAACACTGTGTTAATAAATTGAGATGCATTAATAAGAAAACAGTTAAAACAAATTTCTAGGTTCTATCATATCTTAAGACTTAAAATGGACACCTAGCCTCAGAAACGTCATCAAAAAAGCATAACAAAGAATGCTCTTTTTGTGCCAACTCAGAAAGCTCAAACTGCCCAAAGAGCTGATGATTCAGTTCTACAGAAGAATTATTGAGTCTGTCATCTGCACCTCCATAACCGTCTGGTTTGACTCTGCAACCAAACAAGACAAACACAGACTTCAATGGATAATTAGATCTGCAGAAAAAACAATTGCTACCAATCTGCCTTCCGTGACCTGACAAATGCGTGCTTGACAAAGTGTGCCGATGAAACCGTTGCGACAAAACCGCAATGTCATCAACGCACCCACAACAGTGCACCCACAACAGCGCGCCGACAGAAGCGCGATTTAAGTTAAGGTAAGGGTTACGTTCAGGGTTAATTTTAGGGTTAGATTCAGGGTTAGGTTCAGAGTTAGGTTTAGGGTTAGGTTTAGGGTTAGGTTTACAGCGCGCTTCTGTCGGCGCGCTGTTGTCAGCACGCTTCATTGCTCATTCGTCGGCGTGGTTTAGAACTCGCGGTTTTGTCACCGCAGTTTAGAACTCGTGGTTTTGTCGGTCGCTCTTTTGTCGGTGAACCTCTGCCTTCCACTGAGGACCTGTATACTGCATAAGTGAAAAAGAGGGCTATGAAAATATCTACAGACCCCCCCACATCCTGGACATAAATTGTTTCAACTTCTGCCCTCAAAACAACGCTATACGGCACTGCACACCAGAACAACTAGACACAAGGACAGTTTCTTCCCGAATGCCATCACTCTGCTTAACAACTAATTC